AAAAGTTGATCAGACTGTTTCAAAAGAAGAATAAAAGACTTTTATGTATAAATATCTGATTTTTTTCACACTAGTCAGTACTAGGTTAGATTTTGAAGAGAATCTAATAAACTAAAATTGATTTTTAAGATAAATCAATAAAATCTTTACAATCTCTTTCTTGAGATACAGTGAGGAAAAGTATGATATCAATTGATAATAAATCAGATAATATGACAGTTTTTGAGAGAAAAACTGACAAAAAATAAATCAATTTTTTGCAGAGAAATTGATTAAAACTATTCAATTTTATTCTAAATCATTCAATTCTTCTCACACAACAAGTGTGCAACTCAAATCAGTTAATAAAGAGTGTAAAAAAGAATTAAGTATTAATGAAAGCTCTTCAGTCACTGAAAAAGTAATTCTTACTTAAAAGAATATGAAATTATGACAGAAAACAACTCTGTTTTTAATTCTTTGTAAGAATATTGTATAAAATCCAGAGAAAAACACCTTACTTTTTCAAGAGAAGTAAAAAACTATTTCTAAGATCTTTTTTTTTGTATTAACTGCTGCAGAAGAATGAGATAGAAACTGCTAAGATATACACTACTGTATACTCTCTATCAAGACTTTCTCTCTTCAGAGTCTTGATATTATAGAGAATATAAGTCTGTTTCTATATGATAATATAAATATTGTCAGCAGGATGTAGAGGAACTGGTTATTTATATCTTAAAATAGAAGACTTTGTCAATGATTATATCAATATAGAGTTAATTCTCAAATTCAATAGAAATCTAGTGTTGTTGTTCTCAATCTCTTGCAGAATCTATTGAATATTGAGATATTAAAACTAGATTTAATATATCTCACTGTGCAGGGATCAAAGGCTCAGTCAGATCTTGAGATATACTGATTTTATAGTTGTTGATGTGCTGTTGACTTGTTGTTCACTGATTATGTATTGAATACTGTTGCTGAGGTATCTTTTTGTATCATTCTGCTGGGGATGGGCCAGATTGAGAGGGGTAGTACAGGGGTGAGACTTGGTGTTGAAGTCTAGATACACTGGCGGCGGACTGTGAAGGTTGCACTTCAGAAGAGTCTGTTGATTATGTGCTTGATATTATCATCAAGGTATCTTTTTGTATTTTTCTGCCGGGGATGGGCCAGATTGGGAAGGGCGGTACGAGGGTGAGACTTGGCGATGGTGTTTTGGAACATCAAAGATGGACAGGGTTTTCGCGGAGGTCGCTCCTCAGATATCTCCACAACTACAGGTCGGGGATCTTCCAAAATCGAGAAGATTGGTGCATATGGCTAGGTCACTTCACCTTACAATTTGTATGGCACTCTGGCCCAGGGTTGTGGTGTGGTAGGGGAGAACGGGGGATAATCCCACACAGGAGCTTTGAACAACGTCCGGTTCACGTTTGGCTGGATAACTCCACCACCACACGGGGTATGCGGTCGGCGATGGGGTCAAAATGCTCGTATGATCGAGGGCTTTTCGATGGATCTATCGGCGGGTTCTAATTCGAAAAATCGAGCGAGTTCGTGAAAAATCACTATGGCATTCTTTCAGTACTTTTATATTCAATTCTGTAGATATTGAAATTGTCTGAGTTCTTTGTTGTGATAATCATTGAATCTCTTCATATTGACATTGTTAAGTTGTATGCATATCAGCTATTTATTACTGTTGTAATTTCAACATTGCTCAGAGTCACGGTGATATTACTTCTATACTTATGTTCAAGAGTTCTCTCATATTATTATTAGACATGGTTATCAATCATCAGATGTGTAATTATATAAATATCTCATACATCTGAGTGTCAGAACTCTCAGGTCTTTCACTGACATTCTCTTATAAGATCTTACTCTCTTCATAAGATCTTGTTACAGAGTCAGAATGACTGATGAGTAAGCTTCTATCTGAGAACTCAGTGTCTGCTTTAACTGATTGTTTCTCTTTTCTTACACATTATTATGTATTCAGATATCTCTCAATGAATAATCATTTCTAATAAGGAGACAATGAACATTTTTCTAGTATAAGAGGCCTATGCTGAATAGACCAGTATTATATTGATAGGTCTTATATAACAAAGAGAAAAACATTAGAGAAGAAAAGAAAGAGAAAGTGTGAGAATCAGCAATCAAAGTGAATATTTATACATGTATGTGGTGGTGTACACAGTGGTGCTTCGGGGTGGAAGAATATACATGTGTTCATAGCAGCCGAGGATCGGTGCTCAGAACATACACGTTCATGGCGGCCGAGGATCGGCGATCGGGAATGGGGCGGTAGGAATCTATGAAGTGTACGGAATAGTCTATATGATTGATCGGGCGCAGCCCGCCACAGTATATAGAATTTGAAATAATCATGTTCTAGTTTCAGCTGAATTATAGATGAGAATATTTTCTTTTTACATTTAATTAAACAAGATTTTCACTTTGATTTTATCTCAAATCTTAAATAATGTATATGCTTCTTTTATTTCTGTCAGCTTTCATTTCATTTATTTAAACAAGATTCTTTTATCTTTCTTTTATGAAAGATTAGAACACTGTTTTTTGAATAGATCTGCTTAATTCTGAACTCTTTTTTGCAGCTGAATCAGCCAATTCATTGTCATGAATATTTATATAAGTAGGAACTCAGTGTAGATGAATTATCAGCTTTGATATTCTTCTCTTTTGAATTTTCATAACAGAGTTTAAAATCAGTTCAAGATTCATTTAATTATTATGAATCTGACTATTTCTAAATCTTTTTAAAGCAGCTTGACTATCAGAGAATATTCATGTCTCTTTCACACTATTTTCTCTTTTATGAGATTTTATTTCAATAAGTTGAAAAGCTTTCACTATTGTAAACAGTTCAGCATCAAAGACTTCAGATTCACAGTCTAAATTTCAGAAATCTGAGATAAAATTGATATTATCTTCAATATAAGCAATGTCTGTATCTAATCTATTCAAATTCTCATTTTTTGAGCTATCTGAGTAAACCAGAATAGAGTCTTTTATATTAATTGTAGAGATCTTCTTTAAATACTGTTCATATTCTCTCTCTTTAAATAGTTCACTTATTTATAAGTCTATGAGAGATCTCTGCTTTTCTCTTCAGAGAGATATCTTCTTATGATCAATTTTCTCAATATTTAATGAAGAAAATTAATTTTTAATAAGTGAATATAGTCTATACAGTTGAGAGAGCATTTTCTTTAAAGTATTATTCTCATTTCAATCAAGAAATCTATTTCAATCCAGTTTATTTCCTGAGTTAACTGATGAAAATGAACAAGAGACTCTTTCTCTGATTATATAATTTGAGCTCATCATCATGACTCTCAGAGTATAGTTTATACAGGCCTTTTCAAATCTAATAGTAAGAGAAGAAATTGAAGCTTTAATTTTCATTGCTTTAATAGAAGATGATTTGAATGCTTTCAGAATTCTTCTCAAAGCTCTGTTTTATAAACTTTGAAAGAGTTTAGTAAATTATCTTAATTATTTCATCAAACTTGACTTCATATCAGCTACTGAGATAATA